TGAACCCAAATTACATCCTTTGCTACAAAAGAAAAATTCCACACTCACAGTAGGTGAAACAAGATTCATCTGCGACCCAACTCCAAGAAGCAAAACCAACAACAGAAGTGATAACAAACCTGAAATAGCAACAATAAACTCATAATCTGAGCTCGACCCGCATGGAGAAACATGAAAATATACAAGGGCAGAGCTACAGTATTAATTACGGGCTTGGACCAACCCAATAGTTTTTGCACGGACTCTTTTAAATAAGCATTTATATACTAATCGCGAACCCATTACCAAAAACAAGCTATACATTCATCAACAAGTTCAGAATCCATCAACTTCAAAATCCTACCAAGCAAAACTATATTATTAAGTATGAGTTCAAACAAACCCAATAACTTTTGCTTAAACCTTATAATTGTATTAGGAAATCCATTAGATAAGCATAAATATTCAATTGACAACCCATTAACTAAACAGGTTCGATAACAAGTTCAGAATCCATATACCTCAAATCCCACTAGGCAAAACTAAAATATTCCCTAGTAGTCCAAACAAACTCAATAGCTTAGCTGAACGGGTTCGACAACAAGTTCACAATCCATAAACTTCAAATCCCCTATGCAAAACTACAGCATTAACCAAAAAGTCCAGACGAACTCAATAGCTTTTGCTTAAATTTCTCGAACCCATTAACTAAATGAGTTCAATAACAAGCTCAAAACCCAAAAACTTCAAATCCTGACTCAGCCCGTCAAAATACACACCAATTCACATTACATAGAAAGACACAAAGACATGAGGTTTACCATTGCAACGATAATGGAGTCGAGTTCCATCAGATAAAGTCGCCCCAGGAACAAGTTTTCCGGGTAGAATAGATCCAACGGTAGCTAAATAGAGAAAATAACCGATCAACATAGCAACCTATATTCACCAAAACAGGAACAAAATCAGCAAAAAAAACAAAAATTAAATCACACAGATTGTATAGATACATATACAGTCAAATAGAGAAGAAAACATGCTGACCGAAGTCCATGATGGAGTGAGAGAAATGAAGAGATAATTGAGATCCATTAGCAGATATTGAAGGTTCAGTTCAGTTCAGTATCAGTATATGTTAAAGGTGGAGATGTCCGCCTAATATGCAGAGCTACTGGAGGGGCGCTAATTTAAAACGTGATTGAAAATTTACACAATATCATAGTGAAGGTTGGGGATGCGATATGAAATAATGATTTGAAATTGAGTTTGTTTTATACGAAAGAAAATATGTTTTAAGAGAATTTTTGATGATTTTATTGTGTTTGAGAATTAAATAAAAATTATTTGTGTAGATTTTAGGCAAGCAATATGGAAGATGGGGTTTGGGATGAGGTTGTTCAAAATCGAATTAAAATCAATAATTTGAATAGAAAAAAAGGATATCGGCTTATTGATAATGAGTTGTCGATTTAAAGCTTTTGGTAATAGTTTTAACTTCGATATAAAAAGTCATTGACTTTGGGGCGAAATGCAAACTTATCAACTCACATGTATAATTCATTCAGTTCGTTACCTTATTTTTAAGTAATCTTTAGAGATTTTTTTATGTGTGAAAACTATAATGGTTAAATCAATAATCGAATTAATAATCAGTAAACTGACAAGTGAATGTCTTAATGGTTCTATAATAATCTAGCATGTTTACGATAAGTCGAATCAATAAACTTCAAATTCAAATCGAACCAATCGATAGACAGACTAAGTCGAGGATGTAGATGTGTCGGATGGTGGGGTGAATATGAGGTGTGTTTGAAGGTGTGGAGATACAATCAATGTGAAATGTCACTACAATACAACCTATTTTCGTACTTTTATTAGGAGATCATTTTTTTATTTTAGGCAATTTGTTTTTCTAAAGATAGAGTTTTTTTAAATATTTGACAAATTGAATATGAGAAAGTTGAAAAATATTTTTCTTCGTACTAAATATATTTGGATTGTTTTGAAGTTGAAGTTTTGTTTGGACATGTAATTTGTATTTCTTAAGTTATATTTTTTTCTTGTAAACATAATGATCCACAAGTTGTGAAAACTATGAAAAATTTCTTCAATTCTTATATATTTTTTACCTAATAAACAAATCATAATTCATAAACATGATATCAGAATATCCTAAGATGCCACATTGTTAAATCACACTTCTTTATATATTTTTTATAAATAAATATTTACAATTACAAACTTTCATATACATACAATTTTTCAAAGATTCACTGGTTAACAATATTAATAACTTGTTATTCTTTAATATACCTTTTATGTGGTACAAACAATTTCTTTACAACGAATATGAGTCTTTATTATAAAATTTAAAATAATAAGTCGTGTTTTACAATAAATAAATTTATGGTCAAATTTTACATTTTTAAAAATCATGATTTGAAATTTTAAATACTAGTATTTATTGGAGAATTTAAGATTTGAAATTGTGATTTAAAGTTGAAGTTGGAGTTGAATTATTGTACAAATTCATAAACAAATGATGTTTGAAATCAGACTCTCAAAACACATGACAATTGATTTCAAATGTTTTTTTTTTTTTTTTTTACTTTTAACGAATTTTAGGAAATTGGAGTTGAATTTGAAGTTATGTTTAATCATTTTATTTTTATTTTTACAAAGAACATTTGAAACAATGTTGTATCTACCCTTCATAAGGTATGATAAAGTTTCGCACGCACCACAATTCACATTTCTTCTCCATCTATGGTTACTAGTTACTACTGTAATGCTTTAAGATATATATAAAATATTTCTATTTACCAAAAAAAAAAAAACATTTCATTTATAGGATATCATCGGATATATTGTTGTTAATATTTTGTAATTATGTTCATATTTGAATGTATTTAGATGCGACTTTAAAAGTAAAAAGTGAATTGAAAAATATGTTATAAGTTGTTTATAATTTTGTAATATAATTTCAAATTCAATTTGGATTTTTCATTACCAAATACCCCTTTTTCAAATATAATGAAAAATATGCCGAAAAAGTATTTGACCAACTAATCATCACTCTCTTATATGACATAAATCGACGCAAATTGACCTACATGCACTTATTATCTGTTGAAAATAAATACTTGATCATTGAGTTATGTTTTAATACAAAAGGGATTATAATTTAGATAAATAAGGAGACCAATGGATAACAAATGTATGAAACTCGACAAAAAAATAATAATTTCAGTGTGTTTGGTATGGAGGTTATTTTTCCTATTTGATTGAACAAAGTTTTTGAAAAATATTTTTTCTAAGAAGCCAAGTCTCCTTCACAATAAGAAAAATAACCCCATACACGAAATTCACAAACAATATTCTAGGTATATTGTCGCCTCCCATCCACCCCACACTCTCAATCTCTACCCAGTGACCATTCTTCAACTCCGCCAAACCTAGAGGACTCACTCCCCACCCTATAATGTTAAATTAGAGAAAATGATAAAAATGATTCTTCATGTATGAGTAATGTTTTATTTTAGTTCTCAGTATATTCTACTTAATTAAAATGATCCTTAATATATAATAAATGTATTTATTTTAGTTCTTAATATATTTTACTTGAATGAAATTGTTCTTAATGTATAACAAAATGTATTCATTTTAACCCTTTTATCCTAAAACTAACAAATTTATATAAAAATGTGTTAAATTTAACTAAGAACCTCACGTGAATACATTATTCACCATTATTGTACTCTTTGTTAACTCTAAAATGCGCATGCACACACAAAAAGGATGGTACATGATTTTTTTTTTGGATCCTTTGTTGGAGAGAGAAAAGAAAAGGGTGGTAGATTTTATGGAGTTATTTCTTTGGTGTTAAATCATACAATAATGGTGGATTTTGTTAACCACGCAAGGTCCATAGTTAAATTTAATAAAAAAAAATTATATATAAAATTTATTAGACTTAAAGTAAAAGACCAAAATGAACACATTTTACTATACATTAAAAACCATTTCAATCAGGTGAGATATATCAAAGACCAAAATGAATACCTTTATCATATATACAAGAAGAACTATGTTAATCAAGCAAAATATATTAAAGATCAATATAAAGTATTACCCATACATGAAAGATCATTTTAATTAATTTCTTTGTTAGATTACATACAAATGCTCATGAATTATGATAGCAAAATTTTGCTTTTGCTTATTGATCAAATACTAAAAAATAAATAAGAAATCACACTTATTTTCCAATAAAACGTTATCTATGAAAAAAAATTCCCTTCACACCAAATACACTATTAGGAGTCGTTTGATAAAATGTATTAGCAAAAATAATAACATGCATTAGTTTTATATATCAATAGTACCTTGTTTGGGATATTTTTCATGTTATGTATAACTAACACTCTATTGTGTATTGAGGAATGTATTATTAATATCATTAATTTTTAATAGTAATGCCAATGAATTTAATACACGCATTAGTATGGTTAAAGACCCAATTACTCCTCAAAAGTCCTTTTACATCTTTTTGCACGATAATTATGGAGGATACTTTTGTAAACAATTTTTTTTATACAATACATGTTTTTTTAATACACCAAACGAAACAATGCATAAAAAATATTACTCATATAATTGCAAGCATAACTGAAACAAACATTTTTTTGGAACCCAAGATAACCTGCAGCTGTAAACCGTCAACTGTGTAATAGCCTGCAAACCACACATGAGATGTAAACTGCAATAGACAAGCCCTTTGCGAAAGGCTCGATATTGATCCTGAGTCATCCGTATAGATAACCACCCTCCAACCAACTGAGTCATTCCAAAGGACGACAAACATTATTAATACAATCTATTTAACATTATTTTTATAATCCTACCAAACGACCTCTTAGATAATATTTGATCATTAGTTAAACCTTAGATATATTTTTTTGTTAATTAATTAAATAAGTTTGTTCTAGTCTAGAAAGATACAGTAGTCCGCGAAGTATAATATCAAAACCCAAACTCCATTTCTCCCGCTTATAAACCAGCAAACACAAAATACCCTAGCAGTCTCTCTCTTCCTCCATTTCTCTTCAAAAACCCTAATTTCTCTCTAAAACCCTAAAAGCAGCTATGGAGTTTTGGGGTGAATCTCTTTCTATCTCTCTTACATACACAAACTAATTCAATTTCATTTGTCTGTATTTGATTGTTTCAATTTCAATTGCTGTTTCATGTATTTGTGTTCGTTTTGCTGTTTATGTTCTATGTGTTTTTTAACATTTTAGTTTCTATGCATGCGTTTGTTTTTGCTCAAACATCAGTGAAATATTATTACTGTATATATAAAAACATTTGTGCGTGATTTTGGTACTAGAAATGTTGAGGTTAGTGCAGATATATGCATTTTGCATTTTCTATTTTTTGTTGGCTTGCTTGATTGAAAGAGTTTTCCTGCGTTGGACAGCTACTGTGTCCTTCAATTTCAATTGCTCTACCATGTGCGTATGTTTGTTTTGATGTTTTTTTTTTTTGGTGGCGTTTTGGTTTGTATGCGTGTGGCTGTTTTTGCTCAAATATCAGTGAAATCTTATTACTTTATCAGGAAGTTATAATGTTGTGTGTGATTTGGGTACTAGAAATGTTGAGGTTAGTGGATTAGTGCAGATATATGCATTTTGCGTATTCTATCTTTGATTGTTTTGATACCGATTGCTCTTTCATGTATGTATGTATGTTTTGCTGTTAATGTTGTATGTGATTTTTAACATTTTTTTTTACATTTTATTTTGTTTGTGTTTTGCCCAAGCATCAATCAAATTTATTATGTTATCATAAAAATGTTTTGTGTGATCTTATCAGCGGAAATGGTTGAGTTTTTAGATTGTTTTAACAGGCTACTCACCATATTTTTCCCGTTAGATAGAGTGGAAATATTTTATTGTATTATCTTAAAAGTTATTATATTTTAACTATAAGCCTCAAGTTAGTATCTTTCATGCTTTGACATAGATGAGCTATGTTTGTTTTCTGGGAAGAAATGATGAGGTATAGCCTGAGGTTGGGGGTTTTGAGTCAAGAAGGGCAAAGTGGAAAAAAACTGTTTGTCTCTTGGTAGGGTTTTTTGACTTTTGAGGAGGTGGGGGTGAAGTTTACCATACAAAGGATAAAGTTTCTTTTCATGGAATATCTGTTTGGGTTTATGTCTCCTTCATTCAAAGTGCAAATTTCCTCTTATTTGTGTTCTGTTTTTGGTAGACTTTTATTAGAACATATTTAATTCATGCAATTCCTGAACTCTCAGTTTTCTGAATTGAATATTTATTTGTGCATAGGTGCTGAGGTGAAAAGTGGAGAGCCCTTAACTGTACAGCCTGGAGATGGGATGGTTTTGCATCTTTCACAGGTTTTATAATTTGCTACAACTTGACAAGCTTAGTTATTCGTAATTTTCCTTATCTAATTCTCATTACTATGTTGTTATCTACAGGCATCTCTAGGTGAGTTGAAGAAGGATAAATCAGAAAGTGTCTGCTTGTCAGTGAATATTGATGGCAAGAAACTTGTTCTTGGGACACTCAACTCAGAGAAGGTGCCTCAACAGCAATTTGACCTGGTTTTTGATAGAGACTTTGAATTATCACACAACTTGAAAAGTGGCAGTGTCTACTTTTTTGGATACAAGGCAACTAACCCGTTTGAGGAATATCCTTTTTTATTTGTCTGTGAACTTTTATTTCTTTTATGCATTTATTTTTCGTTCGATGTAAAATTTTCTGTGTATTTGTTTCCTTGACCAAACTTCTGTGGTTCACGGAAGAGGATGACGAAGATGATTATGATGGTAAATGCACATTTTCTTTTGTTTGGACATCCATACTGTTCTGTTATTAGTTATTGACTGTCTGGTGTTCTTGTGTTTTCAGAGTCTGATGAGGACATCCCCCTCACTCTTGCAAACAGTGGTATGGAAAATGCTTTTTACCACGATATTATGTCAATTTAATAGATGCGTTATACATTTTAATTGGCTAATGTTATTGTCCACATGGTTAACTGACTTCAGGTAAACCTGAGCCTAAAGAGGCTGGGAAGTCTAATGCTGGAAAGGATTCTGCTTCAGGAAAGCAGAAAGTGAGGATTGTGGAGCCTACTAAAGATGATGAAGATGAGAGCTCTGATGATGATGATTCTGACATGGGAGAGGTACAATTGTTTTTATATGTTCACGGGGTTTAAATTATTGTCATGGTCTTTTGTAGTATTAGTTAGGGCATCCAATACAAGGACAAAAAATGGGTACCACTTGTTTAAGTTTGTTTGGTTATTTAACTGAAATGCTAAAATGGCCTACTAAATTGTGGTGTCCCGACGACATTTAAAAAAAAATCAATTGCACATTATATTTATCTTCAACATGCCATTGCAAGGTCTTCGAGAGAGTTGTACTATGTAATCTATTCTCTTTAACAAAAAAGTAGTGGAAGGAAAGCTTATCACTCACTAATACATAAGGAGATGTGGTAAAAATGTGCTTTGGCAAGAACACCTTCTAGACAAAGTAATGTGTATGAGGTCCATCCTATACAAGAGGTGGGGTTCCTCCCAAAAATAAATCTATGACTATGCACTTGTGGAAGGAGGTCATTCTTCATGGAGGCTGAAAGATATTCAGAGTTATTCTTTTTTGAATTGCGCATGGTTGGTAGACTCCATCTATCAACTTTCATGAGGCCTTTAACAGGACTTGTTAAATCAGCGATTGGTTTCAATTTGTTTGTCTTACTTTCCTTTTTGGTTCTTTAAAAACTTCTCTTTCCTTTTTTGGCAACCTTTTAATTCAACTTTCCACCTGACATTTTTAAGACCTCAAGATCGAAAGACATTTAGGTACATTATACATAAGACCACTAGATTGAAAAGTCTCCTTTACTTTCCTAAACTTGTGCCAAGTCATAATTAGACAATTGAAACCGAGGAAGTAAAACTTTGAGATTGATCATAAGCATTTTTTTGGGGAAGAAAATGGCGGCTACTTGGCATGGCTAAGGGATGTTGGCTGCTTGGTTTTCTTCCCCAAAAACAAAGCTTCAATAATTTTACTTCGTTGTTAGCCTTCTTCAATTCTTCTATTTCATTCATAGTTCTCCAAGGTATCATATTGTTTCCATTGACAGTGTCTACCAGCAGTTTCGAGTCATTTTCAACTTGGACCTATTGACATCTTTTAGAAATACACATCTGATTCCAGCTAATAAGGCTACTGCCTCTGCTAGATTGGGCTGGAGGTTGTGTTAACAGTATTTGGGGCTGGTTAAAAGTGCTTTTGTGGTTTTGAATTATATTGAATGACTGAACAATTTTCATCTCTTTAAGCTCAGAAGCATACTGTACCTAATGATGCATTGCAAAACTGATATGCTATGCAGTTGCTTTTATCTAGGTTGTGTAATTTGAGTTATACTTTGATGAATTTATTGTATAAATTAACTTTGTATATTCAGGATGAAGACGACTCTGATGACAGTGAGGAGGAGACGCCAAAGAAGGTAGTGATATTTCTGGGGTGGATAATTTACTGTTTTGCTGGGTATTTTGTTGTATGATTTATTGTTGTTATGTGGTTTCATCTCTATTTTAGGCTGAGCCTGCAAAAAAGAGGAAGGCAGATTCAGCTACAAAAACACCGGTCACCGATAAAAAGGCAAAATTGACAACACCTCAAAAAACTGGTTTGTTCTGTCCTATTTTTTTTGTTTACTTCTTCTGGTCCGTATTATTCCAAGAAACTAAGAAGGTTTTTGACTAATAGACCCTTGTGGTCTGGCCCTTCCCCTTCCCCTGCGCATAGTGGGAGTTTAGTGCGCCGGGCTGTCCATTTATAGATATTGTACCAGGAAAAGTAAAATTGCCGGTTTTTTTTCCTGCAAGATGTATCAGATAAAAGTAGTTTGCTGGTACTGGTGGTCAAATGGCTCAATTTTGAAGCATAACTAGTAAAATTCAGTTTATAGGAGTATAATCTTTTTGTAATTGCTCCCTTTTGTGGTTGATTTAGATGGCAAAAAAGGTGGTGGCCATGTAGCAACACCGCACCCTTCAAAACAGGCTAGTAAGACTCCAAAATCAGCTGGATCTCATCACTGCAAGCCGTGCAACAGGTACATAGATTATATCACAACAAAAGTAGTTTTTGATTTGTTTTAAGTAAAGCACATTTGGATGTCTGGTGTATTCATGTATTGGGTTCCTTGCAGGAGTTTTGGTTCTGAAGGTGCTCTCGATTCTCACTCGAAAGCTAAACACAGTGCTGGAAAGTAAATAGACATGGAGACATTTGGTCTTTGTTTGGTTTTCAACTATGATCAGAAGAGAGCTTTTTAGTTGTTTTTTTCCCCGTTTCGGTTGGTTCATCTGATGTAAAGGAAAGATGAGTTTACATCTATTGCTATGGTGAACTATCATCTATCTCTAGGTCAATCATCTATTTTGATGTTTAAGACTTGTTATGTTTTCAATGAGAGTTTTGGATTGAATCAGAGAATGTTATTGCCTGTTGGTATCTTGTTATATGTTATAAGTAATTGGATTATTGCTACTTTGAGTCGTGATTTTATAAAATCTAAAATTACGAAAGTAAAGATGAATAATTCGAAGAATGTATTCAAATCCAGAAACAGGACAACTACTAACAAAAATTTCCAAATTACTATTCATTTCTCGAACTTCAATATCTTCTTGAAATTCATTGATGAATCGTATGAATACAGAAGAAGCTAAATATTCTTTTGGGAAATCGTGTTTCACCTTGTCTTTGCCTATGTACACAATAAAATATGCATTCTTGCATTTTTTTTTTCAATTTCTTGATGCTTATAATTTTCTTCTTTTTCTTATTCATCAACATCTCCTTAACCTTCTTGCAAATACCAAAAATATCCATCGATGAATTAACCTTAAAATTTTTAGTGAAAAAATAACTTTACGAGTATTTGTTGAAACTTTGGAATGGACATAAGGTATTATACAGTATTATCTCCGCCCACTTTTAATTGTCATAATTTCCTTCTTTAGAGTCAAATGATAAAAACTTTGACTAACATTTGATAATGTATTATTTTTAAAAATCATATTGATATGCAAAAAGTTGCAATTTATAGTACTTTTCGTAGAGTTTTTGAATATCTAATTTTTTGTTTAAAATGTTGAATTAATTTAATATAATTTAATTTTAAAAATTAGTTAAATTGACTTTCGAAAAGCGTAACATGACAAATAAAAGTGGATGGAGGGAGTAGTTATTTTTAATTAAAATCCTAATCCAACAGAAAGTAGGATTTATAATCCTAATAAAAATAGGATTATTTAATTAAAGTAGGATTTGTGGTTTTTTTTTCCATATTTTTTTATTTAATTAAATATATAACTTTTAGGTTTAGAATTAAAGTTGGAGTTATAAGTTATAACCACTTTAGTCTTCTTTTAGTTATTGCCTTTTATTAGGATTTAGTTTATATTTTATGTTTGAACATCTATTGGTATACTTTTAGTTTTTGTATTTTAAGTTTTACTTGTGATTTATTTTAAAAGGTATATTTAAGGGATTTAATATTACTACTTCTCCTTGTATTATATATTTTTTTCAACTTGCGAATATAGCTTTGATTGTGTTATTAATTATTGATAAATATATCTCCAAATAATCAAATTGAAAAAAAATCAACTCAGAAAAAGAAACACCAAACTAAATTTATTTTAATTCGAATTGGGTTAGATTTTTTCCAAAATCAAAAACCTAAACTGAACCCAAATAATACAAAATCAAATCAAATAATATTTGATACAACAGAAGACAATACGGCTAACAATTTGTTCGTTTTTATGAATTTATGATCTAACAAATCAAATTCTTATGATCTAGAATATTGAATATAATACTAGCACGTTCTCTATATTTTAGTTGTGTTCTCTCCTTCTCTCGTTAGCATATTAATTACGAGTTCGATCAAATTTAGTAATTTAAATTTAAATTTTGAATTGTAATTTTTTTTTATTGAATATGTAACAATTAATAATTTGGAATTTATTTGAAGAATAAAATTTTAATAATACAATTACAATAGTGCAACCCTTCACCAAGGGTTGAGTTGAATCTTGCTAAATTGAAGAACATATTCAAACTCAAAAACAGTGCAACCCTTCACCAAAAATTCCAATTTCTTCATGTCTCGAATTTCAATATCTTCTTGAAAATCATCGATGAATCGCTTGAAAAAAGTAGAAGACAAATATTTTCTTGGAACCTCATAATTCACCTTGTTTTCGCTTACGTACACAATGAAAAATGCGTTCTTGCATTTTTTTTGCAACTTCTTAGCACTTATAATTTTCTTCTTATTATTACTATTATTCATCAACATCTCCTTAATCCTTTTGCAAAAACCAAAAACCTCCATTGATGAATTAACCTAAAAACTTTTTAGTAAAAAAATAATAGAGGGAAAAGACTTGTGAGTATTTTAGTAACTTTTGAGAAAACATGTAAGTTATATATAGTTTTTATTTTCTTAAAATCCTAATACTAATAAAAGTAGGATTAGTTTGTATAATCCGATCCTAACAAGAATAGGATTTATATATTCCTAATTAAAGTATATTTAAGTCGGTTAATTAAAATGTCTTCCCAAATTGCTTTTGAATGGGTTTAAGTTTATCCCTTTTTATTATGATAAATATTTGTGTACATATAATTAAATTTATAATATTTAAATATATAACAATAATTAGTATTTGTAGATATGTTCATCATAATAAGTACATAAATAATATTAACATATAATTTATTCTTGATAAAATTTTGAAAGCTCCAAAATTAGGAGCCTAAGTATTCTCTGAGAGTAGTATAAAATGAAATCGTGATCTATTTCAAGTGGGAATTTAAAAGTAATAATTTATTTAGTATATTAATTTATACCACATTCATAAACAAAATAAATATAAAATTTGTTTCTGGTTAAATGAAACATTGAGCTGGTTTGCCCGAGAGGTTAAGGGGGAAGACTTAAGATCTTCTGCACATAAGTGCGCATGGGTTCGAACCCCATAGCCAGCATTTTATTTTTTTATTTTTTTATTTTTATTTATTTTAATTTTGTTTTTTAATTTCCTCTTTATTCATATTTCTTTCGAATTCGCTCTATGTAACGCCGATTGAATGGGAAAGCATAATCTATCAAAACTCTTTGTATTTCCATAATTCGAACATGAATATAACAGAGAAATCTTATCTATTCCATGAGCCGTGCCAACATTATTTACGAGCCCCCCTAAATTATATGTCGTGTTCAGTTAGCTTTTGAGCTAATCTGGACACCCCCTTTTTTTGGTGATACTTAGTAGAACAGTCCTACAGTATTATTATCCCTTAATCATGTCAAAGTTTGGGATGCCAAACTCAAAGTTGTACTTTTGCTCATATCAATGATCAAAGTTGATTTTGTTTTTTAAATAGATAGAAAGAGATGTGATGCTAGTTGTACGTTGGTTTTTGTATTACTTTCCAATAAACTTTTGTGTACTTTTTTTGTACTTGGTCCTACTATTCTTTGTAGTTGATAGCTCACAAAATTGTATAGAAGTTTTACACTATTTCCTCTACTTAGTTTAATTGTATTACTTCCTCCGTTGCATATTATATATCACCTTTTTCATTTGTACTTGCATTAAGAAATGAGGTAATTTTACCTTTATGTCCTTATTTAATGTTTGCCTAAGATAACTTTGTAATAAATGATGAATAAGTTAGATTTCAAAAATATAAATGCATTTGGATGACTATTTAAATTTTAGAGTTTATTTTTGGAGCCAAACTTTTTCACCAATTGATCCAAAAAAATTTAAAAATCAATTTTTTCCCACCTCAATTTTCCTATATATTTTGTGTAAAATGTTTTTTTAAATTTATATATATAAATTCTTAAAGCAAATATGACAACATCACAAAATATTCAAATTCCATTACTTCAAATTGATAATGAAATTAGACGACAAATGAATTTTAGTTCTAGTTCGATAAATCATTTATTTTTTTATTTAAACACCGAGACGCATATTGAAGAAGATTCAAATACAAATATTGGTTTGTTGTTTTGTTTAAGATTTTGGTTCGTATTTTAATTGTTTTATTTATATTTTTATACTTAATTCATTTTAACAGTACCATTTGAAGGGCTGCAAACTGCAACAGAAGAAGATATATTATTGGAAGAGTCAAATACAAATATTGGTTTGTTGATACTATTTTTCAAAATCAAATTTTATAGAATAAGTAGTGAATAAAGAAAGTAGTTAATTAATGAATGAAGTACTCTCCCAATGAAATTAATTACTTGTAGATTTCCTAGGTTAGTCAAAGTAAATACATTTTCAAGATTAATTAATTAATCTATCAAAAATATAATGGACAAAATATGATAATTTATGCATAAATTTTATAAAATGATATATATTGTGGTTCCAACTATTTTAAAAAAGGAATGAAATATAATATGAAAGGAATATTACCTATAGTTATTTTTGTTGAAGTCCTTTCTAATTAATGCAATAAATAGTTTCTCCAGAAAGAGCACATCTCATGTATATAGCAAAGAGAAGATTGAGATTTGAGAAAAAGCAAAACCATCAAAATATTTAATTAGAACATAGTACAAACTTGCATATCAAAGTTTTACAGTCACCAAGCCTAAAAAAAGAACTCTCTTTTTTTTTCAGAATTCAAAATACTAATAAAACCTCACAAAACAAAAATTGTTTTGAGTCTGCTTGTTATTTCACGAAGGTCATCATATACTATATCCTAAAATGACCAATCTAAGAGGAATTTATTTTGGCAGAACAAGAACTCAACAATCTCAACATCTTTTAACTGCTGAAATTTAGTAGGGCTCAACGGGCTTGCGGAAGCTTGCTCCTGCATAAACAGCCTCTGATCCGAGTTCCTCTTCGATCCTCAAAAGCTGCATAGGATGAACGAAAAATCAGAAGTATGCTGGGAATGCAAGTAGTTGAGAAAGAGAACAACATTTTTTTCGTTACAAAGATAAAGAGTTCAACGGCTGTATTTTTGAAGGATAAAATTACCTGGTTGTACTTGGCGAGACGCTCTGACCTGCAAGGAGCTCCAGTCTTGATTTGTCCCTGATTATTTCCGGGAGAATACTCGTTAGTATGACTAAAATCTGTAGATCATCATAATCTAGAATGCTTAGTAACAAAATTTACCGTTGACAAACCGACAGCAAGATCAGCAATGAAGGTATCTTCTGTTTCTCCACTGCACCAATTAGTTTTATGAGATAATCAGAACATGACTACTTGAAATTTATTATATTTTCTGTGAAGTGATATCGTGGAGGATCATTTGTTCTTTACCTGCGGTGACTGGTCATTACACCCCAACCTGCCTTCTTAGACATCTTCACAGCTTCAATACTCTCGGTCACACTGCCGATTTGGTTAACCTGACACATATCGAGAGAGAAATGATTTAATAACATCTCAAAGAGGAAACTCTCATTATCATGGCAGAAATATACGACCTATAAGCTGGATAGGATGATACCTTGAGAAGAAGAGCATTGCAAGTCTTCTCTGCAATTGCCTTGGCGACCCTCTGCACACCATTATAAATAAGTATACATGGTAAACATTAACACCTAGAGAAATTGACGTCTGCCTTTTCTTTTCAATGGCAACAGCAACTCTGCTATGCAAGCAATATTGTTAAAGCTTCAATCTTACCTTAGGGTTGGTGACAAGGAGGTCATCTCCGACAATCTGTACTTGCTCCCCAATCTCAGTGGTGAGCTTAGCATAGGTCTCCCAGTCATCTTGGTCAAATGGATCTTCAATTGAGACAATAGGGTACTCGGACACAAATGACTTGTACAAATCCTTGAGTTGGTCACCTGATATCTTTTGTGAGCCGTCATTGCTCTGCAAAGAAGAATAAATATGAGCAAAACTGAATAACGTATGAACAGTTTGACCACGAGACTACCTCGGAAAAAGCATGTGTGAAAGAAGCAATAGTCAGTACTTGCCTCTTCTTTGAAGTTCAGGTCATAAGATTTGTCCTTTCCGTAAAATTCAGATGCTGCAACATCCATTCCAATGACCACCTAAACAGAAAATTATCTCAGCCACCAGATCATCTAATAACAGCTATGAAAACAAAGAATTGTGCGACTCAAAAAGTAATTGAGATACTCACCTTTCCGGTGTAACCTGCTTTCTCAATGGCTGTCTTGAGCAATTCAAGACCTTCCTTGTTCTCCTGAATTTTTCGAAACCATAATCATGTCAGTGCACTGGGGTAACATTCAACAGGATGTAATACAGCAGCATAAGAATATACTTCACCTGGATATTAGGAGCAAAACCACCCTCATCACCGACATTTGTGGCATCCTGACCATATTTCTTCTTAATCACAGCCTGCAATTAAAGTATAACTATTATCAGACAACAAGATAAAGAGGACAAAGAACAATATGAACAAATTCAAATTAGATTGTGAGCCTGAATGGAGCCAAAGACACCAATCGATCCCCTAAATTCAAATATATACTAGCCACCTAAAACAGTATTTAGAGGTAATAAAAGCTGTCGAACCTTCAAATGGTGATAGACTTCACAGCCCATCTTCATGGCCTCCTTGAAATTAGCAGCTCCAACAGGAAGGATCATAAATTCCTGCAAAATAACTACTAATGAGAATCGTTCTAGTAAAGAGCACACAGATGCATAGTTGACGCAAACCAATGGCATACCTGCATTGCGAGTTTGTTTCCGGCATGAGATCCACCATTAATCACATTGAAGGCAGGAACTGGTAATACCAACTTCTTGTTACCAGCCAAATCAGCAATGTGCTGCAAAGAGAGGGGGCAATTTATATAAGTAACCACATGGTCGCAGATTAATCCAATTGCAAGTAGAAACTTAATTTGTCCTAGTAGCCTTGTGGTAATGAAGAGAATCAAATGGTGCAATTTTTTTTTATCTCCTATTGTTCTTTTGCATGGGGATGGAGGAATGGGATTCATATATGGGAACAGTAAACATGGGAAAGATTAAAGGTTCATGCGGTTTCTGCCTTGCCAATTGGCAATAGTTCAATAGTGATGCAAGGCTTAGGCCTTAGGGTGTAGATAAATCTAAAGAATGTGCATGGACTCCATGAAAACCAATTTAATGTTTGCCACAATCACAGAAATGCATCCCTCTCTTGACTGCTGTTTAAAGAATCAAGATAAATCATCCTACGAAATGACTAAGTGAAAATGAGACATCATTCTTCACAGGCACAAAATATTAATTGGGCCTGTAAACATTTTCCGCCAAATATACAAAAGACAACTACTCGGGGAAGTTAGATACTCAAAAAAGAAGTGATTCTCCAGTATACCTTGTACAATGGAACATTCCTGACAGCAGCACCAGCTTTACACACAGCAAGTGACACAGCAAGAATGGCATTTGCACCAAGCTGAAGAAAAGCCAATACAGTTAAATTCATGAAAGGTGAACTTCTCTTAATAGAAGAATTAACTTTATACTTGGCATAAATAGTAACACCTTTTCTTTGCACCAACCCCACTCATTTTGAGTTCCATCTAACTCATGAACCATGAAGTTATCAAGACCAGTCTGATCGGTTGGGTCCTGGAAAATAGTAATACTTGTATGTCAGAAATGAACAATAAAAGCAACTTAACAAAGAAATAACCTATTAAGAAAAAATATATTCACGGGGAAAAAACAACAAACCTTGCCGATGAGAGCAGGGCCAATAATTGAGTTGACATTGTTAACAGCCTACAAGGTAAGAACATGCATAAAAAATATTAATCAACAATGATCAGTATAATCATCAAACTAAAGCTTTGCAGTGAAATGCCAACCTTTGAAACACCCTTTCCAAGGTAGTCAGATCCTCCATCCCTCAATTCAAGGGCTTCATAAATTCCTATTATACAACAAGTCAAGAGGATGAATTATCTTTCAATTCAAAAGGTAATAACAAAAGGACACATTTGCCAAGAACGTTGACAGCGTTGAAGACAGAACAGAAAGTAGCAAAGATTCACATTTCCACCCAAACTGATATATGCAAAATCAGTGGATCAGATGAGCTACAAGAAAATCAACAGTCCATATAATAGATTCTACAACAAGACAGAGTAGTCTCTATATAATACTAACCATTTCAATTTGTTTGTCTCACTTTCTTTTTTTAGTCCGTATAAAAAAATGTCTCTTCCCTTATTTTGCTAACTCTTTAATTTCAACTTTCCACAACATGTTTAAGACCACAAGATTAAATGACATTTTGCTACATTCTACAAATCTTTAGTTTAAGACCACAAGGTTCAAAAGTCTTCAAACTCTACGGCCAGTCAAAACCATACAAACAAATTAAAAACACAGGGAGTTACTTCTGTTTTAGAATAGTAACATGCTGATACTAAAAATGCATTTTTTTTAGTGAAGAACAAGTATCTATAGCTGAACATAAACTCATCAAAAGGGTGAAGTTTATTCAATACACACTTGAAAGAAAGTTACTATGTTTTCCAAACAAACAAACAAGAAACTCTGAGTTCAATTACACAAGTAAAATAACGAACTAATTACGCATGTACGCACACAATTTTCAACACATTCTAATCAATCAATGTTTAAAAAAGTCACTATATACAAGAACACAGCTCGATCATTACCGGTGGATGCACCACTTGGAACAGCAGCTCTAGCAAATACACCATTTGAGACATGTACATCAACCTGCACATATACACAACAACCAAATCAATACATCTGAGGAAAAACATCTCTACTATTGCAACAACTGACATGTCTGAACCCATAAAAATTAAATCTTGAATCCGCCTTGGTCTTCAAACTGATGTAACAAAACTTATCAGCATCAACAACCAATCCAACACAACCAGTCCATTCTTAAAAAATAAGATCTTTTCAAAAATCCAAACAAATCCCACAAAACTTATAGCAGCAACAAACAGATACAACACAACTAATCTGCAACCTCCATTCAAAAGTCCAAACAAAACCCATAACAGCAACATACAATTTAAGCAGAATCAGCAAAAGGGTATACATAAAAAACCTCAAAAAGATTGAATCTTGAAACAGATAAAACACAACTAATCTGCATCAACAACCAATCTAACAAAACCAAACACTCTCAAAACAAACTCCATTCAGAAATCCAAACAAAACCCATTACAACAACAAATTATTTAAGCAAAATCAGTAAATGGGTAAACATAAAAAGCTCAAAAAGTTCGAATCTTGAAACAGATCGAAAAATCTAGAAAATAACATAAAAACATCAAAAAATTCTGAAAAAAAGAGAGATCTGAAGGAAAACAAACCTCAACGGTGGGGTTACCACGGCTGTCAAAGATCTGACGAGCTTTAATGGATTTGATAGTTGCCATTGGATCTATGAAGAGAGAAATAGTAGAAAAGAGTGAAGAGAAAAAGTTTGGTTTTTTTTTTCAGTGAACAAATGGGATGAGAAGTGGCAGCACGTATATGTAGAGAAAATTGGGTTAATTACAACCGTTGATTTCGTTATGATGTTGATTAGTGTTTTCATATTTTTTTGAAGTATTTATATTACTTTTTTGGTCCTTTAGTTAGGTATAATAAAAAAATACGTCTTTTAACTTGACTTTAATTGATATTTATGTCTTTCAACTTAGAGTATGCATAAGTCAGTTTTTAAGTTTATATAAATTTGAACAAATAAACGGAAACATCTTGTGTGACATAATACAAATTGAACACCATGTAGGACACAAACTGTCATGTAAGATGTTACTTAAAACGCATCTATCTATTCGTTCAATTTATACAAATTTGATATATGATTCAATACAAGTTATTGATATACGTAGGAAATATGGTATATTCCATTTTATTAACCTCAAATATGAAGTACACTCAAGTTTAATATAATATATAAGTAATTAAATGGTAAAACGATTAATGACTCTAAATATTATGAATACGCATAATAAGTAAAAGAAACTAATAAAGTGCATGTTAAATAAGTAATTAAAGTTTAAATATGATTAAATCAAATTTTATATAAACTAAAATTAGAATTAATGGTGAAATGAGGGACCAAAAATATTGTTCAATTCCTTTTTAATTAAGTGGGCTAATTGTATATTCCAAATCTATGTGCTTTAGAAAACTCCCCTCGAGTGTGTCGAAATGTTGTTATGTACTTCTAGATCTAGGGGTGGATTACCAATGAAGAAAAAGTTGTTAGGTAGTTTTTGTCTTTTCAAATATATATAATAAAATAATTCAAATTTAATACTTAGTTAAATTAATACTATATAAATTGTTACTATTTTTATTTAGGAAGGATACAATATAAAGTTAGTGATAGTTTGGAGAAATTGTATAGTACAATTAATGAATAACTATAAATTAGATATAAATTGATATTGAGATATTGCCTTGTGAGTTGTGCATATAATTAATTAATTACAACTTGATTAACAAGCTAAGTGAAATAAATACTTGTTTATTGTTTTTGTGTGAAGCTAATTATTACGAGTAACATTCATAATATTATAAATTTGAATTAAATTTAAATTCAATCGAATATTATTCTTGTCTGACTATTTTTATTTATTCAATACTAATTTAACATATGTCGTAAAAAAATAACTCTTCTTGGGCAACAAGAAGAGAACACTTGGTAGTTCAAAATCACGAGAATATTCGTCTAAATTGTGCCATTTGTGTACCATTTGTCTTACTTTGTGGGGCACAACTCACGAGGAAAATGTAAGGGGCTGCTCATTTACATCTTGAATTAAGACTTACAAAAACAAAATAATAATCGCATACTCAAACTTGTTACGAATTTAGTTATAATAATAATAATAATTTATTAAACATAAATTGTTCTTTTTTCTCAATTTTATCATTCAAATTAAAATTCAAACATTTCCGGAGGAGGTAGTAACAAAAATTAGTTGGAGTTAATAAATAATGTATATTTTTTATAAAATATAAATGTTTGGGGTAATTTTTGAATTTTTCAAAATTCTCAAATATTAGAACTTGACCCAAATACTAGTTTTTTCTAGCATTTGGAAACTTATATGACCAAACACCACTTCTCAATTTTTTCCCAAGTATTCTTGGCGCCAAACGGATCCTAAGAGTTGAATAGATTAATTATGTTATGACTTATGATGCGTTATTTAACCTATTTTAACCCAATTTTTTTTTGAGTGTGTCATTTATTAATTCGACTTATGTTAACTTGTTCAAATTTAGCTCAATTTGTCCATTTAACACCAATTCTATCGTTTACAAAACGTTTTGTTTTTTTCAGTACAAAAAGATAATTAATTAAGGAGAATCTTTGTTTTTGCCATGTTAGCTTTTGACTTTTTATTCGACTCATATATGTTTCTCCTTTTTCATATTTTCTTATATATAATTATATATAAAACTAAATAAAAAAATAAAAAGGATGAACAAATGTCGTCTTGGACAAGTAGACTTTCCATTAGAAATAAAATATTCTTTCTAATACGAAGTAAACTCAAAAAGAGAATATAAAACAATAGTTAAAAGAACAATTGTTTAATTAATGGCAAAAATATTATACTAGCAATTAAAGTAGGCAATAATGTGATAATTTATAAATTATGACGATACTTTGAGGCGTGGTTTGGCTCGTCATACTTCATAATATCAATTTTATAATATATTTCAAACTATATAATAAAGCTTAAATTAAAGGCCATTTTCACACAAACCTTTTATTCCACCTACCTCTATGACGTTTTCCTTCTTTATTTTCACCTTTTTTTTAAAAAAAAAACGTAAAGTTAAGAGCTAATTACATAATATTTCTAATCCTTTTCAAATTATAAAAGATCTCGAATATAGCAAAAAATCTGCAGTTACATAGCTCATGAATGTATCCGAGAGAGGATAGGGATGTATCCGAAGAGAGCTAGGAATGTATCCGAAAAGAGATAGAAATGTATTCGGGAGGGAATAGGGATGTATGCGAGAGAGAATTGCAATGTCTACGAGAGGAGATTTTTGTAATGTTTATTAAATAGTAGAGAATTTTAATTATAATATCTGTTTATTAAATAGTAGAGGATTTTAATTATAATATCTTTAATTATGTATTTATATATTTTTCTCTTTTTTTATCGGTTCCATATAAAACAAAAATATTGAGCAAAATCCAAACCTTAAAAGGTAGAAAAATTATTTTCAACAAACCCCATCGCAAATAAAAGCACTATAATATAAGTATTGATTTTATATATAATAACAACATATTCAATATAATTTTACTAAGAGATCTGTATACAAACCTCATCCCTACTTGGGCTCATGTTTTTCCCAACTAATCAAGCAATAGTCACTGTCAGAAGTAGACTTTTGACAAATGATAAGTATGTAACAGAAATACCCAAAAAGGAATATGCTTTAAGGCATCTGAGAATAATAATTACGATCAGGCGATCTTCGTAATAAAAGAGACATTTGGCGATAAGCTCATTGCTTATTTTGGAAGAATCATCATTAGTTCAAAGTTCAAAATGTACTCCCATTCAAATGTTCGGAGCTATGTTATCAGATCTTCTAAAAGTAGTGCATTATTCGAGGATCTGAAATGAATGCAACAACAATTTTCAGAGAGTCCGATAAACTATGGATTAGATGTAATATGTAATAAGTATTCCTGAACCACAACTTGGTTAACCTTGTCAGGAATAACAATTGACAATTCAATAATCCATCATAGTAAAACATTCAAACATAGTAGATGAAACATGCTGCACCAGAATTATAACTAAGCTTCATAATCTCCAAAAACAAACAAAGGTATTTTTCAGTGTCTCCCAGTCCTCGACCTCGATAACTGACCTGACATGGTACGATCATTTTGTAAGTTTGAGTGTTCAACTATAATAATGAAGGCGAGGTGAGTATCTAGACGTGCATTCTCAAAGAGTTAAAGTTGGAGTGCTTAATAGTCAGTCGATGCCAAATTTAAGTGTGTGTTCATGTGTTATGTCTTCATAAATTAGCACAGTAAAACATCCAAACACATAAAAGATCAAACATTCTACACCAGAATTAGAAACTAAACTTCATAATCTCCAAAAACAAGAGTATTATTCATTGTTCACAAGAAGACTAGTAAAACATAAAAGCAAGAATTAGTAGCCTCATCATCATACTAAACAAAAAGAGAAAAAAAAACCTCTAAAGTGCCTTGAGAATATCCTCAGAGCACTGTTAACATTGAAAGCTCCACCTTCCTCCAAATTTCAAGATTTTAACAACCCCATCTTTTACAAGCATGTAATACCTTCTAACACCAAGTCCAACAGGCTCATCACTAAGATCAAGCTCACACCCAATAGCCTTAGTAAACTCCATATTCCCATCACTCAGCATCATCACCTCATCACTGATTCCCAAATTCTCCTTCCAAGATTTCATCACAAATGCATCATTTACCGAAATACAAGCAATTGTGACAACCCCTGTAGCCGTAAAGCTCCTTAGATTTCTCCACGAAACCAGGAAGATGCTTTTGAGAACAAGTGTGTGTAAAAGCACCAAGAACAACAAAAAGAAGAGTCTTTTTTTTACCAGAAGTAAGGTAAGAAACTATTAGAACTACTTACATTGCCCAAAATCTCTTCACAATGTACTCAGCCAAAGTTTTAATCTTTTACTTCCAAGTTAATTTAGGAAAGCATTCCTGAATCCAAGTTGGGTGGCATTATCAGGAATCAGAACAAACGTTCATATTGTAAGACATAATACATAAACAAACACTCAAATTTGGCCTACCAGGCACGTAAACATTCCAACTTTAAGAGTGCACGTCTAGACACCTCAACTTGGTCTCAAGTGACAACTAAACACTCCAACTCGTCGCATTGTTTCTCGTGGACACCCGATGCTAACATGACACATAATTTTTGGAGGTGTCAAGTTGATCATTTGGTAAGTTTTAGTGTTCAACTGAAAAAATAAAGACGAGTTGAGATATCTAGATGTGCATACTCAAAGTTGGAGGCCAAATTAAAGTGAGTGTATGTTTATGTATTATGCCTTCATAAAAAGACAATCCAATAATTCATCACAGTAAAACATCCAAACACATAAAAGAGCATACATTTTAGACCATAATTAGAAACTAAACTTCATCATCTCCAAAAACAAGAGTATTATTCAATGTTCACAAGAAAGCTAGTAAAACAAAAAAAGCAAGATTTAGTAGCCTCATCATCATAATCAACAAAAAGAAAGAAAAAACCTCTAAAGGGCCTTGAGAATATCCTCAGCACTACTAACATTGAAAGCTCCACCTTCCTCCAAATTCAAGATTTTAACAATCCCATCTTCCACAAGCATAGAGTACCTTCTAGACCTAACACCAAGTCCAACAGGCTTATCACTAAGATCAAGCTCACACCCAATAGCCTTAGTAAACTCCAAATTACCATCACTCAACATCATCACCTCATCCCCAATTCCCAAATTCTCCTTCCAAGATTTCATCACAAATGCATCATTCACAGAAATACAAGCAATTGTGTCAACCCCTTTAGCCTTAAGCTCCTTAGACTTCTCCACAAAACCTGAAAGGTGTTTTTGTGAACAAGTAGGTGTGAAAGCACCAGGAACAGCAAAAAGAATGGTTTTTTTTCCAGCTGTGAGGTCTGAAACTGAAAGGGTCTTGAGTTCATCGGAGGAATCGAAGTAAGAAAAGGTGGAATTGGGGAGTCTGTCTCCGACAGATATGGTGGCGGAGATTCTTGAAGTGGCGGAGGTGGAGTATTTCAGAGATGGTAAATGGTGAATGGGTTGTTTGAGTTTTAGAGGGAGAGATGAAAATTGGGAAGAAGAGGAGAATAGATTGGTTTTTATGGGGGAAAGAAGAGAAAGGGGTTTTGGGGTTGAGGGTTTTAGGAGGAGTTTTGAGAGGATGAAGGAAGCAGAAGCAGTGGTGGCAGCCATTGTTGAGCTCTGTGAGTGTGTCACTGTGTGTGTTTTTTGAGATTATTTGTGCTGTCTGTGATTTATCTTTTTTATTTTTTGTTTTTTTTACTCGGTATTCGGAACACATTGAAGCTTCGACTAAATTTAAATTACGCACTTCAGGGCTCATTTGAGGATGGCGCTTCCAACACAATATTTTGGGTATCATTTGAGGTATCATTTGAGAATGGCGCTTCCAACACAATATTTTCAATACCCAGGACTCGAACTCGAGATCTCTATGCTTAAGGATGAAATACTCCTATCAGTGCATCACAATCCATATAAAATTCACGGCAACTATAATTTCTATCACAAATTCTATCCTTCGGGGTAAATAATTATTTTGAAACCACATCAAAGATATAAATCAACATAAGCAAATTTTGTGTGACAAATTCGACTCAAAAGGTATTATGAAAAAAATGATCTAACCATCTTGAAGGACAATATGTAAATACGTCCTAAATTTACACATTGTCCTTCAAGATGGTTAGATCAATTTTTAGTTATGTAATTTGGGACTTATTTAGTTATGAAATAAATTATTTCAGAATTAATGAGCATTACTTATTTTAAAATTATTATTTCATCCTTGAAATAAATCTAATTTTGAGATAAGTTATAAATATAATTTCGAGTTGGCCTTTTATGTGGCTTTTTGGCCACTTTTTGGAAAAGTGGCAAAGATATTTTCAAGAAGTTGACACATGGCATTTATTCCTTTACTTTGTGTATATTACTCATCCATCATAGTTTAATATAAAATAAAATGTATATAAAAATAAAAACTTTTGTGATTTATGACGGATGATAATAAGATTGATCATAATTCATAAGACATACACGTTTGTAATGGTACAAATTACTTTACTAAAATTAATGTGAAAACTTTAAACTTAAAAAAGTATTTTAAATACGAAAAAGGAGTGTTGTTTCGAATTAACAAAAAATGTGCCATACAAATTTTTATTTGAATTCAGATGTTAAAACTAGGGGTGTTGCACGAATTAAACCGAAAAATCAAATCAAATTCTAATTTGTATTAGTTTTTTTTACTTTGTTTGGTTTTTTGGTTTGGTTTCAGATTTAAAAAAATAAAAATAAAAAAACTGAAAAAACCCGAAATATATATGTGTGTGTGTGTGTTTAGAATTAAGTTGGAGTTAACCATTTTTGTCCTTTTTTAGTTATTTGTAGTTTAGTTTATTTTTTATGTTTGGACATCTATAATTGATATACTTTTAAGTATTGTGTTTTATGTTTTACTTGTGATTTATATTAAAAAGTATATTTAAGAAATTCAATATTATATATATATATATATAATTTTTTTCAAATTGCAAATATAACTTTGTTATGTTTCTAATTATTTACATAACCGATTAACCGAACCGAAAAACCCAAACCAAACCAAATTTATTTTGATTCGAATTGGGTTACACTTCTTCATAACCAAAAACTGAAAAACCCAAACCGAATAATATAAAACCAAATCGAATGCACACCCCTAGTTAAAACGTCTAACTTTAAACACAAAATTTTTCACTTCAATTTATAAGTATGAAGTTAATTTTAAAGCAACTAAATAAGCGCCTTCCAATATTTGTACACTTTCTCAAGAGGAGAAAAATCGACCTAGTCCTCTCGTCCTAAGGTTGGCTCCTAGCTAAACCTTCATCATCTGCTTGCTTGGTCACGAAACAGAATAAAGTGAGTGGTTAAATTTTAAATAATTTGCAAACTCTAATTGAAACTAAATTAAAGCCCAATCCCTTTTGTCCACATTTTGAAAAGACCTTTTGAAAATGGATGTTGGGCTTAGCCCATATAAACAGTAGCTAAAAATGATGTTAGGCCCATTAAGTTAATATCTGTATGATAGTAGAAGAATTACAATGACATAGTTGTTCAAGCATAAATTTCATGTGTTTGACGGAATGGAAAGAAAGTGTAATGGAGAGGAGCCGATTCAGGACTAAGGGGCCGTTTGGTTACTGGTTAGAGTTATGCAGGTATTAATTATGTAGGGTTTAGTTATGCAAGGTTTAGTTATGCAAGTGTTAGTTATGCAGGGTTTAATTATGCAGGTACTAGTTATGCAGGTATTAGTTATGTAGGATTTAGTTATGCAGGGTTTAATTATGCAAGTATTAGTTATGCATATATTATTTAATTATGTAGAGATCACAATGCATAAATTATGAACTAATAAATATTAAATTTGTTGTAAATTAATATATATTACTTACAAATAAATAAGTAAGCAAATAGTATAAATTTTCCCTCTTTTTGAATAGAAAGTAAAGAAAAAAAATTCTCCCTCTATACTTAATTGGGAATGCTATTTTTTGATTTTGTTATTTTTTTATGTTTATAACTTATAAAAATAAAATACGATTAATATATTTCAAGTACATTATAATATCCTATTTTATATAATGTAAATATTCTATCAATATGTTGTATATATTGTTTATACAGTTTTAATATACCAAATAAATGAATTATGTATAAATTCATATCCTAAACAAAATAATAATACATGTTAATTAAAGAAGTGGAATATATTTAATAATATATAACGCTATATACAATTCAATTTGTAATATTAATAAAATATTACATTTGGATTTCAAATGAAAACAGAAAAAAAAAGTTGTTCGTGTATTAAAAAAAAGTTAGGAAAATAGCATAGTTGGATAACATTTTCAATGAAAATAATTAAAAATAAATCAATAAGGGTAAATGTGTAATTTACTATTTTAATACATGTATAACTAATACCTGTATAACTTATTCTACGTTCTACCCTGCATAACTTATACATAGATTCCCTCATAAGTTATGTTGGTATTAATTATGTAGGACTACAAAAAACACAATCAAACACCGTATAAAATTAATACATGAATAACTTTTATACAATATTTAGAATTCTACCAACCAAACATGGTAAAAGTAATGCAACTTTTTATACATGGATAAAATGCAACTTATACAGTAACCAAACGCCCCCTAAGGGTTCATCCAAACTTCCTTGAGTGAAAAATTACATTATTTATATTTGATTAATAATATTATAGTGGATGTTAAACCCTTTTTAACTTCTTTGATTCAGTTACTGTAACTCATATTTGTTATTGTCTTGACATATTGATGAGTATATAATATTCAGCGTAAACTCGTAAGTGGGAATAAAGTGTCGCAAAATTAGAAAGGTTATTTCTGATGTAGCAATGGCTCAAAAATCGTATGAATCCCATTGCGTCCCTAGCTCCACCCATGGTAACATCGTGGTTAATTTACCTCATAAGTTCAAACCACGCGCAGAGTTCATCTACTTTTTTCAAATTTTCTTGATAAATTTTTTGGCTCCGCTGATGTTTTATGAAGATATTAGCTCTGTATTGTGAAATTTGAAACCAAATTTATTACATCTAAGTAAAAAGGAAAGGGAAAAAAATTCAATCTTTTTTGCATATCTTCTTTCTTTGTAATATGATGCTGCATTTAACCACAGGCCTCTTTCTGGGAATATACACAAAGAGAACAAACAGGATTCGAGCCCTGTGGGACAGGGCTCGAATCACTTTCATGTTTGAAATTACCTAAAAAGAATATACCCAACTATTCATCTCTTTACAAATGATCAAAACACACACCCCAAAACAAGAAAGACGCGCAACGCCACTTCTTTTGGTGCTACTGAGGGGGAGCACAGGGCGAAAAAGCTTAAGATTCATACCATAAAATCAGTTTCATGCTCGTTGACTAAGAGTTGGGGACGAAAGTGCCAACGTAACCAAATCCAACGATGAGAAAGGCAAATGCCTGAATGAAGAGGTAGAGGAAATAGTGGTTAGTACCAAATGCAATGTCATAACATCCACAGAAGAAGAGGTATGCACCAGCAGCAAACTCTAACAAATGAATCCTGTCGATAAGGAAAACTTTATTAGTCTTGTAAATTGTCCAACAATAACTGAAACTCGTATTTGTAAGATGAAATGTTACCTGTCACCTAGCCTCATTCGATGTTTTTTAAACGCTTTGGTAGCTGATTTTAACTTCAGAGCATCCCCTAATTTCTCTGTGACAATCCATTCGTTCACTCGTCCTGCCTCCAACAAGCCGATGAAGGTGGCCTTAGTACGGTGCAGTGACATTACATTCTCGAAAAGGATCCAAAATACCAGCAGATGGAGTGACCTGTTTTCATTTCAGGAACGACGAATTAGTTAAACTAATAATGCATCAGTTTTAAAGGAGTAAGGTATCGTTTGCTCACTACAATGTCACTCAGGCATATTTATCATGTATAATATTCGATGATTGAAAATCTAAGGATAAGGTGGGATATCTCAAGATTAAGTTTTGAATCATCCCATCCCAGAACTATATAGCCTATGAACCAAATGACCCCTAATGTATCATGTTAACTTTCAGCCGTTAGGACTACAGCGTTATCAAGAAAACGAAGTAGGAGTGATGCAATGCGAGTATAGGGAGAACTGACCTTGGAGTTCCAACAGCATTGAGCAGCGTAATGATGGCAGGAATGTAAACAGCTCCCCACTTCGGAACCTCAACTTCAGGTACTAATACGGTGGCGGGTAATACCACAACATAGAATACGAAAGTAACAATATGAGCTACAACCTTTCTAACGAAGAAGAAGCTGTAAATCACATGAACCTTCTTCCACAAAGACACTTTCTGCAAGCAAACAAAGCCGATAAACAGAAGTTCAACGGGGACTTAGATTGAGTACTATAAACAGTCTTTAGGAAATCGAAATATGGGAATGGCGATTTTAGTATTACCTTGTTTCTTATGATCTCCATACACATTTTCCTGAAGAGATTGGCTGGGCCACAGGACCAACGATGTTGTTGATAACGATAGGCCTTCAATGTACTTGGTAATTCGTTTTTTACCTATATGATTGAACAACGGTAGCAACATGTTATTAACAACGGCCACATACTCTATGTCATTTTCTCGATTTGTATACATGATAAATGATCACCACAACGACTTCAGTCCATACCATATTAAGGCTAATGAACGTCTTTCTTAAAGGGCATGCCAAAACCTTAAAACACAGATAATATGGACAAGAGATAGTATATTGTAGCATCCATTTATCTATCATTTCGTGACAACGGATAAGAAATGTCAGATGAGGATATGTGTGAAAACCTTAAAAGACGGATAATATGGTCTACGGACCACTCATTATCGTGTTTATTTATCTATCATTTGAGACAGCGAATACGAATGACAGATAATATGGACTACAAATCGTGTTCTATAGTGCTTATTTATCTATCATTTCAAGACAACGGATAAGAAATGTGAGACGGAGAATATGTGCAAAAACCTTAAAAGACAGATAATATGGACTCTGGGATCGTATTTTATAGTGTTAACCTATCATTTCGAGACAACAGACAACAAATATCAGATGGGGAATATGTTTAGAAACCTTAAAAGACAGATAATACGAACTACAGATAGTACATTATAGTGTTTATTTATCTTTCATTTCGAGACAACGGATAAAAGAAATGTCAGACAGGGGAGTATGTACCTTGACTGAACCAAGGAACAAGAATTTCCAGCCCTTGAGACTAGCACGGACAGCAAGGTCCATATCCTCAACCGTTGTCCTGTCCTTCCAACCTCCAGCCTCATCTATTGCAGCGATTCTCCAAACACCAGCAGTGCCTGTATTTTTTTTGTTCCAGACACAACATTTCATAGTTACATTCGTTGGACCACAATGAATTCACAGAACATGTAGAGTTCAATATTTTTCTTGGACCACTACTATTATTAGTTGTTGTTTCATTTAAAACTTCATTGAAGACAATTTACACAAAACTAACATGTTGCTTACTGACTTGTCACTTTCAAGTAAAGAGCGGATTCAGAATTTTAAGCTACAAGTTCCTATAGCGACTTCCAAGTTAATTAATAATACAATAGTAGTTGGATGCACAATCAAATATTTATAAATAATGTATACGGAGAATTAATACCATTAAATCCGAAAAAAGCATGTGTAGAAGAGCCAACTTCTTGCTCCACAGAGAAATGATAATCCAATGACATTTCTTGCATTCTTGTCATTAGACATTCATCAGCATTAACTGCAAAAATCACCAACCAATAAATAAATAAATTATTTCATTACAATAACAATAATATATCTAGTGTAATCCCACGAGTGATAGCAATGGCAGAGCTAGAAATTTGGTGAAGAATGTGCAAAATAAAATATACACTCATAATAACTAACATTTAACCTATGTACACGACATAATATTTTAACAAAAGGTGTGCACTGGACCACCCTTCGTTTAAGGTGGTTCCGCCCATGCTAGAAAGGGTGGTGTATAAAGATCTTACCCTCCAATCTTGTGCAGGTAAAACAGTTGTTTCTAACCCTCGATTCGAGTATAACATAAGGTAACACAAGAATTAATGTGAAAATTGAAACAAAGAAAATAACAGGTACTAACTAATACAATCGAAGAATAAACCAATATTTTTCTAACGGGCATTTTTTAAAATGTTTGAGTTATATTCATTTATTTAATTTAACAATTTAAAAAAATTCTCAAAGACACCAAAAATAGTGTCGGCTAGTAAAAAAGAATGTTCTTAGGTCCACCATTTTTATTGCACATGCAATTGTTGCTTAAAGAGGTATAAGACAAAAGGACAAAAATACCCTTGTCATTATTATCAGTAATTCCAAAAATGACCTTGCCTTTAAGAATGTAAAAAGATTTTTCTTTGTAGAAATAGCACTTCCTAATTGGCTTCTTTAAGTACCAAAAAAAAGCTTCCATTCACAGTGCAAAAGCAATAGGTAAATGTTGTTTTAGATTCTCTTAAAATGTCATCGGGTGAGTGTCAGAATTTACAAATATAATCTATTTTTTGTAAATTCGTACAATAGACTCATCAATAATTTTGGAGAATCAAAGCAACATAATATTTTCGGAACATCAAACATGAACGTGTCAATATTTTCAAAGTCAAAACCAATATAGATTATTATGTTGCTCGAATTCATTAAAAATGTTATTGGGTTTGACACATACGTATCAAATATTGGAAAAAGCAAAGCAACATAGGTGGTAGGTGATAGGGGCATTTATTGTCCTAGTAATAATACTTTGTAATATTAAGTGTTTCTTACGAAACCAAAAATACTTTTTTCACTTTAATCAACTCCTTTTTTTAGCATGCACCAGACAAAACAACTTTTAGCATAGCATAGAAATTCTTTTTTTTTATCAAAAATTAAAATTATTACTAATAATGAGTACTTTCTTTTTAATTCCATATGGTGTTCGATATCAACCTTGAGATTTAATTAAAAGGGGGTAATGATTCTCTATCAAAGATGATTTCATATTCCAAATTTGAATTTGAAACCTCTAGTTAAAAATAAAAAAAATACTTACCGATTCACCACAAACTTTTACGACTACACTTGAACTGCCAATTCAGAACTAGGGCCAAATTTCATGAGCCACCACAACATGACTATATGTGGCCTAAAAAATACTGGCCTACAAAGATTGTACCTAAGTCTGGTCATTATTATGTACACACACAAAAATATTGGTAATATGTAAAAGTCACCGACAGTGTAGATGAGTTATTATTTAGTAGATAAATAATATAAATATATCATGAAAGTGAAAAAAAATAAAGGTTATTATTAGCTAGTGGTTATATATAATTAAAAAGATGAGAATCATAAAATGATATATAGAAGACTTTTTCAAGATTTATATTAAGCTTTAGTAAATAGAATTACCGTATCGAGAAGAGATCTCTTACCTACTCGCTCGATGCGCTACGAAATTCTAGTGAATGCCCTTATTTAGCATTTTGGTGGATTAATTAATGAAAATCACAAAATGCTAGATGACTTCTTCCACAAACTAAGTTTTGGTAGACAAAATTATCGCATCCTGATAAAAAGAAAAAGGAGTGGCCTTTCGAGAAAAAAAAACTATTGGAATGAGATCTCTCATATAAAAAAACGGAACTAAATACTCGCTCAGTGCGCTATGAAATTCTAATGGATTCCCTTAATTTAGCGTCTTTGACTTGAACTTAGCCATCTTCCTATCCTAAAACCCTAAACTTCACCCAGAGGCGAAGTCAAGATTAAAACTTTAATGAATCAAAATGTCATTGGTTCATTAAAGGCTAAATAAGCATTTGAACTTTATTGGTTCGGACTACATCTAAAGACGGAATCAAACTTTAAACTTTATGGGTTCAGTATGCCACTAAATACATAATCAAGATTTAAACTTTATGAGTTCAGAATACAATTAAACCAACTAACCATTTGCACTACTCAGGATTCGTGCAAGACTGTCCGGACACCATCTTTATCAAAAATATTACTCCCTCAGTTCCATTTTATGTGAGGTAATTTGACTCGGCACGGAGTTTAAGAAAGAAAGGAAGCCTTTTAAAACTTGTGGTCCAAAATGAATTATAGAAATTTGTGTGGCTGCAAATCATTTCATTAAGGATAAAATAGACATTTTATAGTTAAATTCTTACTTAAAATAGAAATGTGTCATTCTTTTTTAAACTGACTAAAAAAAAAGTAAATCACATAAATTGAGACTGAGAGAGTACTACAACTACTATATGAGGAAAGTTAAAAAAGTAAAACTTACCATATTTCCATCTAGCTTGAACAAGGGAAAGTTCAGGATTGTGAACTAGAAATGGAATTGTTTGCCATAGAAAATCAGGTTCAGGTTGGAAATCAGCATCAAAAATAGCAACAAAATCACATTGTTTCACATAAGAATGCTTCAATCCTTCTTTCAAAGCACCTGCTTTGTATCCACTCCTATTGTCCCTCACTTCATATTTTATATTTATCCCTTTGCTTGCCCATCTTTGGCATTCAATTTCCACCAAATTCTACAACCAAATTTCAAGAATCACAAAAGGGGGTTTAGGGTTTAAATCCAAATTTAAAAAAATAATAAAAAACTTGCAAAATTTTATAGTCTGTTTGGCCAAACTTTAAAGACTGTTTGCTTGAAAAAAGTGTGTCACAAAAAGCACTTTCGAAGAATAGCAACTTGTGTTCGATTAATTAATTTGAAAAGTAACTTTAATAATATAAGAGTTGCAATTTATGCTTAATCAAGATTCCGAAATGTTGGGTTTACTTCCAAATTAAGAAAAGGTTCGATTTTTACAACAATAACATACTCAGGTAGTTCCACAAGTGGGATCAGAGAAAGGTAAGACGACATTACCTCTACCTAAGACAACAGAGAGATTGTTTCAGATAAGCTTTCGATTTGAGACATTCAAGAAAAGGTTCAATTTTTACAAACTTTATAAATCCTAAACCAATTTCAAGTTTCAAAAAAAAGGGTTTCCAGGGTTTATCCATAATGTAAATTAATAATAATAATAAAACAATTTTTACACTTTTTTTTACAATACCTTAGTAATGGGGTCTGTTGAATCATCAAGAACTTGCACTATAATACGATCAGAAGGCCATGAAAGTCCACATGCAGCTCCAATTGAAAGCTGATAAACCTTTGTAAACAAAAAAAAAAATTAGAATTTTACCTAAAACAAAATTCTAATAAGCAAACGTCGAGAAAAAAATACTAATTTTAATGGACAAAGTTACCTAACACATATACTGTATAAGACATTGAGGTAGCACATATTTGATGAAATAGTTAAAATGCATCAAAGAAGTTTTAAACAGTTTCTTTCCCTAAACATATATCGATGAGAGGTAGAAGATATCCATTGGAATACTTAAAATACTTCACAAATAAACTAGACGATTTCTTTTCATAGCAGATACCTAATGAAATAATTAAGATGAGTGCATACCGACTCTTGGTGAATAGAGTTACTCGAAACTTGGCTAACGTTAGGATAATTTTTGAAAATTTATCCTCAAATATCTTTTTCACCATAAAATTTGGTTAGATTTTCATAATCTAATTTTCAAGCTCTCAAACTTTAAATTTTTTTCCCTAAATAAATATATGTCCAAACACAATTTCAAAATTTCAAATTTCAAAATCTATTATCAAATGAAAGTTTATTGAGGTGCACGCAAACGGACTCGAACACCAAGAAAAAAAAAGACAAAAATGAAAAGAATAAAGAATGCAAACCTCTTTTTCATTATACATTGGAATTTGAACAAGAACCATAGGATAAGATGAATTGCCAAGCTCAACATCATCTTTTAATGGCTCCCATTTGTATCTTTTTTGAGGTTTTGAACCAAAAACTTTCAATAAAGTAATGACAACAAACATGTAAACTCTTTCAATAAACAACATTACAGACATAGCAAGACATAAAAACACTGAAATCCTTAAAAGAGGAACAATCAATGGAGCTTTGATTTGTCCCCACATTATACCAAATTGTTCTGTTATATCATCTCTTGTTCCATAAAATGTATCAGAAACAAGATTTGTTCTTGATAACCCCTCCATTATTAAAAAAAAAAAAAAACAGGGGATTCTTGAAAATGTGAAAAATACAGAAAATAGCTCAAACCCACCACTAAATTCTGCTCTAAAGCAAAAAAGATTCTTTTTTTTCTTCAGAAAATGGTGGGGTGGTGGAAACAGGGGATTCTTGAAAATGTTTTTTTTTTTCTTCTAAAAAATTGCAGAAAAAAGGTGAGATTTTTTTTAATGCTATTGGAATGTCAGAAAAGACAGACAAATAGCTCAAACTCACCACTAAATTTATGCTTCAACAATAAAAAGATTCTTTTTTTTTTCTCAGAAAATGTAGGGAAAAAAACCAAAAAAAAATTTGAATTTTGCAACAAAAAAATCAGAAAGAAGGAAATGGGGTTGTTCAATTTTGTGTTTGAAGAAGAGAAATGGGCACAAAAAACAAAGCAAAAATTTGTTTGTTTTTTTGTATGAGAGTTCTGTATTAATGGCTATTGAAAAATGTTTTAGAAGAGAGAAGATGGAGAGAGAAAGAGAGGAATGGTTCTCTTTTTATAGAAGCTCTACTTTGCCTTCTGGTTTGTGTTGCTTCTGTCTTTTTTTTTTTTTTTTTTTTTTAACTTTCTATGTTCTAATATTTAAAACATATATTATTACACTTTTGATCCCTCAATTATAAATTTTAATTGGTATTTATATGTAATTAGTATAATAGTTTATTAAGTATATTAAACTTTTTGTTAATTAAAATGTGTGATTCTGAACCTTTTAAATAAAACTATATAACTATTGAATATGGAGCAATAGTCTGGTGCAAAGTTAGGGAGCGTTAAGGGGTTCATCTGAACCTCATTTACTAGATAAAGGACAAATATGATGTGTATACAAAAATAAAATTATTTTCTTATGTATACGTAATAGATATTGAATTACATTAACTTATTTGTGTGTTTCCTTCTTCATATTCTGAATCTTCTTAGTGAAAATCATGATCCTATCACTAGTAATATTACAAATTACATATCAATAATTGAATAGTTTAGAACTTAATACAATAACAATAATATATCCAATGTAGTTTTATATGTTGAGTCTGAAAAAGGTACGATCATCCCAACCTTATCCTTGTCATTGTGAGGTAAAGTGGTTGTTTTTTCAATACACCCACGATATTGGTTTACTAACAATAAAACATTTCAATGTAATCCCACAAATTGAAATATATAATAGTAAAGTGTACACATACTTTACCTCTATCATGAATTAGGTTGTTTTCTGCAGGCTCTCAGCCGAGAAGAAAAACAATTCAAAACCCTCCACTCTAGGTTAGGACTTAATAGTTCGTTAAATTTGTGAAGATTTACAAAATAAAATAAAATAAATAAATAAGACCAAAATTCATAAAATTGAGAGTTTAAATATGTTTAATGAGAAATTAAGACCAAAATTGTAATTTATTAATATTTCAAGGGATTAAAAGTGTAATTCATTTATTTTCAAAATAGGAAAACACATGACAAATATTATTTATTAAAATTTTCCAAACAACAATTGAACGGTTCAAATATTTAGTGCACGCCGGCAATACGTACGGCAGTTATGGGCCCCCACTTGTATGAAAAAAACACATATCGTGTGAATTGTCCAAATTTAATTTTGTATAAACTCACTAAACACAAGTTTAGTAGGTAATTAACTGTTTATTCAACGGTCACTAACGTTTATATTTTTTTTTAAAAATTGGCATGCAAAATAATAAATTTCCATATTAAACCAAAATAAAAAGTCATTATTGTTTTTAAGTAAATTTACGTAGGAACAATGGAGAGGGATGGGTTATTTGATGATCACTCAACGTCTCTTTTTATCTTTTAATTTTTTTTTACTTAAATACATAACCTATATCATCATATTCTTTAAAATTCCCTACATTTGAAAAAATTACAAAAATTCTCGCTCTCTCTCCTATTCTCAGATACACCGCGTAAAATTCTCAAATACATCACTTTACGCGATGTATTAGTCGTATACATCACTTTACATGATGTATCGGGACATACCCGATGTATCTGAAATTGAGACATGATATATCGGGACGTTGAGGGATATGTCCGAATTCCACCAAATTTAAAGGATCTTTGTAATTTTTTTTTTTTTAAAATAGAGATAGAATGTCACTAGCTCTTAATACATGAATTTGTGTAATTTTTTTAATTTTTTTTGTGTGTGGGAGGAGGGGGGAGGGGATAAGGCATAATAACATATTTAAATTATGATAAAATTATTAACTACTTATATATTTAAAGTATGAGGGGAAACTCTTATTACTGTAGTTCTATGAAGATGTTTGGAAGCTAGTAGTGTACGATAGTCGATAGAGAGAGATGATTCAAAATAATAGGAGTAATTAAATTAATATACACACGTCTATTATTAACGGTAAATAATCACTTAATCAGCTCAAAAGTATAACACCCTTTACTAAAAATTATCTTATTTCTCGAGACTTGAATTCATTATTTTAAATTAAAATTGAAAAAATATTTAGCATCCCATCTAAATTTTTGATATGTTTTTTTTTCTTATAAATGTGGTCGATGTTCTAATTAAGCAAAGTCAAATATGTAGTAAGCTAAAAAGGAGATGTAGTTCCTTGATTATTGGAATGTTTTATGATTAGTGACACATAAATGCATTTTGTTGCAAGTGATAGGACAATTTTAGTTTTAGTTTTTGAATTATTATACTTAGACATAACTAATTAAGTTTCTTTTTTTAAAAAATAAAAATTAGTAGTACAATTTTAGGGTAAAATTTTCTAATATTTACTTCGACTCAATATGAATATATGACATGACATCTATTGAAATTTATATGATTATTATTTAATTATGATTAATATATATATATATATATATATATATATTTTCACGTTAATAAATTCTTCGTTATTTTCAGAGGGAGGAGGAAGAAGAAGGAAAAAATTGTTAGAATCAATTCTGTGAACGCTTCCTAACACAAGTAATTTTATACTCAAACTTTAAATTCGAAATCTCTAATAAAAGATAACATCATTTTTCAATTTCATTATAATATATCTACCTAACAATCATGATTATAATATAAATGAAACTATATATATTTATTTATTCTAAAGTATTTTTTTAATTGCCAATTTACATCCACGCAAAATAAATTCCATTAATACAAAAGGCAGAGAAAAGGGAGCTTTCTAGGCACATGCTACTTTTATGTCACATAAATAATGGACTTCTCTTTGACCCTATACAGTTGTGATGTTAAATCATCCACCAATATATTATTAAATAAAAAAAACTAAATATATTTTTCTTCTTTTATTTGGAGAATTTGAACTAAAGATGCAATTTCTTTTGGGGAATAAAAATTGAAATTACATCCAAAGATGAACTTGTAACTAAAAAAGTTTGTCACCTTTGAATGATAGAAGCTAGCAATGTTGTGATCCAAATTCATGATACGCATTATTCGTAATAGTTAAACATATCTCTCAAATTATTATTTTTAAATCGTATCATCATCAAGCTTAATAGCACATGTATCATATTATGTACTACACTTATACGTAAGAAATCACGATATTAACAATACGAGGTATTAGCTATTCTTGTCTAATACATCATATTTATTTAATGTAACAAACAAAACATTCGATAAAGAATAGCAGCATAACTAATCTGATTATATATAACTTATAATTTTAATATTTTTAACATACTATATTCAGTACTATTTTTACACATCTTACTAAACGAGCCTAGTTTAATTATCATCATCAATTTTGCACAGGTAGGGTTTATAGGAATGTGGTTGGTAGTACAAAATGCACTCAAAGATACTAAGACATGAAATTGATATTAATATCTATTTATCTATCTAATTTTTTGTAAAAATAAATCCCTAGCAAATTAAAACTGATGGCTAGTTTGAACTGTTGCATTAACTTCAAACTTGTTAAAGAAACTGCTGTATGGCAGTGATATTGGAAATAAACACCTAACCTCATTTATTTCAACACTTACTCAATGTCTCAATTGACCTAGACAATACTTATTGCTAGTAGGAGATGGGAGGTGATGATAGATATTTCGTAAAATTAATCAGATATGCATATGTTATCACGAGCATACTTTTAGTGTTGGTAGGAGATGGGAAGTAATGATACACCTTCCGTAAAATTAGTTGAGATGTGCACCTATTATCACGAACATTAAAATTACAAGTATATCCACTAGACATTGTTGCTGGTTTTCCATATGTTATTCGGTATTTACTTTGGGGTTTGACTAAATTGAACTTGTGTTGAAAAGTTTTATTTGAGATAAAATGTTTCTTATGAAAAGTGATTTCATTCTCAAAATTCAAACTCGAAATATATGATTAAAACTAATCATATAAAACAAACCAATATGAATTATGATAGATAATTGAGATATCTTCATTCTTATTTAAAAGCTTTTGATTCAAAATTTGAATTAATTGAGCTTTAATATAGATATCAAACATAGAATGAAAAATAAATACAAATTTATATATGACGAAGTAGAATTCCAGTGGATAAAAGTTTTTTTGTTTTGAATATGTTTTCATTATAAATGAGTTAAGCTACTCTTAAATTAATTATTTAAAAATAAAGTTTGATTTTTATTAAATTGTTCTTATATCAACCTTATATAGCAAACATGGGACCTAAAAACAACTTCTTCATAATTAAAATAAGTTTAACTTGGACATAATACAACTTGAATCAAAAGCCACATTAATTATATATGTCCCTAATCATGTTTATATATATATATATATTTACTAATTAGAAAAGTTGTCATTGTTTTAATTTAATATATGTAGGGATATAGTATAGTATAATGGTTGGTTATCATTGGATCTTATTATGGGATTTTGATTAAAGATTTCCATTAAGTGTTCTCAAAGCTTTGATCATATGGCCTAATTATAATAATTTCATCAGTCATGTAAAAACTTTTTTTTTATATAATTATATAAACTCCACTTATTTTAATTTACGTATTTTACTCTATTTTTTAATCTGTTTAGAAATTATCCTTTTTATATTTATTACTTTTCTTTAATTTCGTGTTTAGTCA